AGATTTGCCCTTTTTTGTTCATAAAACCAAAATCACAGGAGAGGGTGAATTTTGGGGAATGTCTGTCCTGCAGCTGTGGCTGGCCCGTGTCAGCTGACTCAGACTCACGGGGCTGTAAAATGGTGGTGTAGATGCTTGGGCTGGAGCCTGGACTCTGTGGCCCTCCCCTCTTGTGGGGTCCCAGAGCTTGGGCCTCAGCCCAAATGTCTACACAGAATGTTTTACAGCCCCCAGAACGCAAGTCAGCTGACGTGGGCGAGCCTCAGGTATTTAATTGCAGTGTAGACATAGACCAATGTATAATTAGCTAATCCCCCAGTGTAATTACTCAAATCACACAGTGTAATCGGGCCTATTCCCTGGACCAGATCCTCAGCAGGGATAAATCGATGTAGCTGCCTTGACCTCAGTAAAGCGATGCCAATGTACTCCAGCTCATGATCTCACCCGCTGTCTGAAATCTCTTACCACAGCATGGAAAATTGTCCACAATCTCATTAAACTGAAGGCATAAATGTCTATCACCCACCATTGTAGCCTTTCAAGGGGCCTGTTTTCCAGCCCCTTTAGGCATGTCCAGTTTGTCCTGGTGCACGAACAAGATGAATGAACCCACATAACCCAAAAAGTGATATTTTCCCCTCTGCTTCCTCCCCAGCATTACTGTGTGATGTCTTGGACACGTTCCAAGAAATCATTTATTGTCAAAAGACAATAAGAAAAATTTTTAAACCAAACTTTTTTCCCAAATGTTTTTTGGCATCCTTCCAACATTCTACCTTTGTGCAGAGGGCATTCATCATCAGCTAACAAAGCAAAGCGCTTGCTCTCTGAAACCCAGCATGGAAAGCAAAGACTGAGATCCTTGCTTGAACACAAACTGCAGCTTTGATTTGCAAGTCTGTGTAATCATTATACAAACATCTCACATCCTTTGGAGGGCAGCTTTGTTGTTATTAACTAGAATAAACCTTCTAATCTGTCATTAGCAAGTTGGAACATTCGCCACTGTAAAAGTCTGGGATTCTTTCTGAAAACAAGTGCTGTACATGAAGGGATTATTGAGCACATCAGCAGAGGTGGCCATCCAAGGAACAGTTATATTGAAAATCCCCAAATTACTGTAGTAGAAGTTATAGATCAAATCCACGGAAAATTAACTTTCTAATGATGGATACAACAATCAGCTCCTAATATGCCAACAGGAGTTTGCAGTTAACTATTAATAACACTAGGAGGAATAGACCATATCTAAAGAAGCTGTGAGAATAGACTGACCTAAATATGACACATTTATTTAAAGGAAATATGTATCAGAGTGAATCAGTTGATAGTCACTATGTGCTGAGGAGGTGGAACAACAGCAGAAGCTCTAACAACAGAGACATTGTGCAGAGAAAATCTGATCCAAAACCCACTGAAGCCAATGAGAGTCTTTCCAGTCACTTAAATAGGCTTTGGATCAGGTTCTTACTTATTGCTCCAGCACTTATGTCTTAGTATTAGTGCATCTCCTTAACGCAGTACCTTACAGCTGCTTTCCTTCTGCTCGCAGAATACACTGATTCAGAGACAGACCCATACCTGCCGATAGTGGGGGGAAGAGTGACGTCAGCAGCTTCAACAGATGTTACTGAGCATGCTTAATTAGTGAGAGTATGCTCAGTATAAGCCAAGCAGCAACTCTGGGAAGGCACACGTGCCCCTCCCTACTTATTACCTCTGATTCTATCCATCTCAAAGCTATGTCAAGATGTTTTGATACAGATTGGACATAGGATACCTCCTCTTTCATTAAGTTGACTTAAGCTACAGACCTCATGCTCCTACCTAAACTAGTGGAAATTCAGCCACTGACTTCAGTGGAAAAAGGTTGAGGCCTTATGCTTGCTTACCTTTCCTTTTACATAAGATGAACTTCTACTCCACTACGATTATTTCTTTGACAACTCAGTGAGAAATTCATACAGTTGAATGGTGGTGGTTTACTAGTCTATTCTTCCAAACAAGTGATATCACATCCACAGTAACACCAGTTTAAGCAATGTTGGTTTGGGGGTTTTGGACAGTGGATTTTTCTTTTGTTTTAATGGTTAATTCTGGTCCAAGGTGCCACAATGTCAACCTTGAAGGATGAAGTTCTTTGTTTATCCCCCTGACAGACAAGAAAGGGCAGCAGTAGTGTAATCTTCCCCACCGCTGGTCCAGCAATGTGGCTCAAATTACTTGTAGGGACAGCCTCTAATGGGGAGGGGATAGATCAATCTCTATGCCAGTTGAAAGCTTGGAATCAAGTTGCAGTTGAGCTATGGACATCTCTACACTAGAAATAGGACTAATCACTCATTTTGGCTACTAAATAAGCATCAGATGGCAGTAGCTTTTGGCTTTTCCAACCAATCTGTATTAAATTTGAAGTAGCTGCCTGTGTGTGGAAAGACATTGTTTTTAGTCCCTGAAGAATCTAGCCTTGCATTTCATATTGCTTGGGACTGGCATTTTACTCTGAGTGCATATGAGGGTGCATATTGTTCCCATATACATTTACTAGTACTAGTAGTGTGTTTCTGGCAGATTTCTATTTCCTACAAACAATTAAACAGATGATTGAGAAAAACAGAAAAGATGAACTTACAAGGCTATTGTAGCCATTAAAGCCAAAGATTTCCCCAAAAAATGTTGGTCTGTGAGGACCCATTTACCTGGGAAACACTAGTTCGACAAGCACACTTTCCCACTGCTGTATGTTGCAATTGCAAGATGCCAAAACAGATGTTTTCTGTTATATATATTCAGTTCCAAAGTTTTATTCTACGTTGATGACAGACAAATAATCCTTGCGAAGCTGTCTAGGGTCAATACACATTATATTTGCAATTGCAGGTGAAAATATTTCAGGCCATTCATGCAAAAGTAAAACTTTTGAACCACATTTTCTAAATGGCTGGGATAGATTTTCTACCCTGTATAACCTCCGTGCCATCATTTTCTGTTTGATACATTTCTTACGTTAGATAATCCTAGGAGAGGCCTCCGCCCTCTAGCCTTCTATGTCAAAGCTCCTTTTAACAAGTGAACACAGTGCTTTGTGTTTAGCAGACAAACAAATCATAAACAGTGAGGGGCATGAGCTTCAAAGTTCTCTATCCAGATATGAGCTTTTTCAAAGTCAGCAGTTGGTTGGCTCTAAGGCTTTTGTCCAGTCTCTTATTATGGAGAGGCGCTAACCTCTCTGTAGTTAAGATTGCAACCAGCTTTTCTTATCAAGATCTTTCTGACTCCCATCTCTCTCCACTTTGGCCTGAGAATTGCCACACTTACTCTGAAGATGAAGGAGAATGAAGAAAAATCAGAAAAATCTGCAGAAAAATCTGTTTGAGATTCACAGCTCATTGGAAAACCAATGTACCCTGCTTTGAAATTTATGACCTTTCAGTTTCATGTATGTGTGTGCATGGGACTGATAGAGCAGAGGAAAAAATTGAAGGAGAAGGAATCCTGAGGACTCTGAAATGGACACAGAGAGCAGCTCCCAGGGAAATAAAGATAAAAAGAAATATAAATAGTTATTTATACATTAAATAGTATTTGATTGTGAGGGTCTGCTTAAATATAACTGCAATCATCATTTAATGCTAGATCCATTTGATCTCCAGGTTCCTGGCCAATGCTTGGACATCTCTCTCCCCACTCAGGACAATCAGGACTGGATTCAGGGTGCAGGTTCCTTAATGTTCTAGCATTCAAATTAGAACAGAAACGTGCCTTCTTTTGTCGGTTTTATACAGACATATCAAACATGCCCCCTTTCCCCCTAGTATTCCAATCCTCATCTTCTACAATGTGTATTCCCCAAGTTCTAGCCATAATATGATACCTTTCTCCCCCAGTAGGGAACACCACAGCACAGTCACCTGCCGGTCACTATCTCCAGGAAGAAGAAACACAGCATTATGCAATATTGAATGACAAAATGTCCCTAAGCATCTTGCATAGAGTGAATACAAATTGGCTACAAAGGAAATAAATCCCAGAGGAGGCACAAAGCAACAAATACTGAGTTTATTAAAGTCTGTCTTTTTTCTAACTTTCCAAAAATTTCAAAAATGTCCAGGAAAATGTACTTGGACAGACTGCATTTGTTCCAGTGGATAACAAGCCGCCTGAAACACCACAAAATAGCACGGGATATAGGCTCTCCATCCCAAGAAAAACAAACAGCTGGTTGACAAAGAAATCATAAAACTAACTCCATACAGTGCTCCAATTGACTTTTTTTAAAGTTTATTTGTTAATGGGGCGGGGGGGAGCCAAACTGCATACCAGATTACTCATTGCTGGCATCAAAACATGTCACTGTTTGCAAACCTACCGTATGTTGGAAGGAGACATTTATTGAACTAAAACAAAAAAAGTTAAACTGCCCTGGACAAAGATTTCTTCAGTATATTCATACAGAACTAGGTGATAGCCTCGGTTCTAGTTTGGATTTTGTCACAGATGAAATGAGTTTGGTAGTGCTCAGCCAATATCATTGGCTTGTGGACATGGACTAATTATTCACAGGTTTGGTTTAAGAACAAATCCAACCTGATTTCGGACACACCTAATTGCAGATCAGGAATTAGGTACATTGACAGAATTGTGTGGAAAGATGTTTATAGAGGATTAGTTTAAAGTATCCTTGGATCTTCTCAGTGTTATCATGCCCTTATTTTCTCCAGATTTTCCTAAGAATATAGGGCCAGGTCCTCAGTCTCAGGTCTGGCTGCCTTGTGCTTCACATAGGGGGCATGTAGGTGGCAGATAGGGTGGAAAGGGGGTGTGCAATGGGTGAGAGGGAAACTCTCATTCTGCATAATGAAAAAGGATAAGCAGAAGTAGGAGGGGAGAAAAAAAGAGAAGGCAGGCACAGCTGTTGCTGCAGGTCTTTTTGAAACAGGATCTGCATGTTTTGTTAATATAATAAATCAAAATTATGTCTGTACTGATACATCCAGAAAAACATCACCTCCTGCAGAACAGCTTAATGTCCGTGCCTGCTACCAAATGCAGAAGAATGAGGATATTACAGCACTGGAGCAGGTAAAAAAGCATGGGGTGGGTGGGGTGACCACCTTTTCAAAAGCCCCGCCCCCACTCCTCCTCTTCCCCTAAACTCTCACCCCTGCTCCTCTTCTTCCTCCCAAGGCCCCACTCCCTTTCCAGGCCAGAAGATGGAGCCAGACCATGGTAAGCTGTACCCAGGGAGCCTGGGTCACCGTGGGGAGCCCTGGACCGGGGCCCAGGGTGCCTGAGAGCATCCCCCAGCCTGTGTCCCCAATCCCCGGGGCATGCATGTGGAGGGTCCCCCACCCCCTTTGGGATAGGTGGTCACTCTATGGGTGAAGAGAAATGTTTAAGTCATTTTCCTTCCGCAGGTTTAAAAAAGGAATGGGTTTTTTGGTTATTCAAAATCTTTCATGAAGTGTTTATATACAATTTTTTATTTTGAAAATGGAAAAGCAAAAAAGCAACCAAACAAAAAAATTCTTTGCCTCCCTTCCCCCCTCACACCTCCTCCCCCCCCCACCGGAAGCAGAATGGAAAAAGGAAAAGGAGGGAGGGCAAGAAAAAGCAGACGCAAAGGTAAAAATAGGGAAAAAATGAACTGAAATTGCAAAAAAACAGAACAGCTTACATTGTCATCTTCCTGTTTCAATGAAAGAACACATTTTTCTGAAAATTTTCCATATGAAAAACAGGCCGCTTTTCAATTTGAAAAAATTTCTGCCAGGTCTGTGTAGTATTCTCTAAAGAGGTGGCCTAAGAAACCCATATATTAATGACTAGTTTATTATATACTTTGATTTCTCCCTCTATAAAAATTATACACCATTTTAAGGGGGGCTTTGATTTTCCTACTCACTAAAAAAAAAGTAATTTCCAGTGTGTAGCTTGGGGACTGGATGAAAGCTAATGTGCCTAAACCCTATCGCTAAAAAGGTGCCTTTCCTCATTTATTCAAAAATATTGAACCCTGAACGTTTCTCTGCCACGTGTTCAAGCAAAAAAGCAGCTGAGGCCTCGAACATGTTTTTCTTTCTTTTCACAGTATCGTATTTTCCACCTTGAAAGGAAAAAAAAATGCATCCCCTTGGACACACTTCCACAAAGGGGAGGGATACTAATTAGGGTTGCCAGGGAGCTGTTGTAATAACGGGACCTACACATTTACCCAATGAGCTCAACTGTTAAAAGTAAATGAAAGTTCATAAAATGTCACAATAACCTAAAATAACAAATGTGGATGGGAAAAGATATGAAAGGGAGAGAAAATGACAAACAGAAAGGCCTACTAATGTAACCCAAGAACTGTTGAGATCATACCTGATAAACAAGAGAAACTGAGGACTGAAAATTAATAAACTAAAATTTGTATTGTCAGCTATTAGGCCTAATTGGTTGACAAAATAATGAGGGGATGCCTTATTCCACTCATTACTCCTTTTGGGTTCTTCAGAAAGATTTTGGAAAGGAAAAAGGGGCTACTGGAGCAAGCTTCATCATCATGTTTACCACACCCACCATCTCCCTGGGCCTATGATATCCAGATCCTGAAAGATGTCCCGACCAAACCGGGCCAGAGAGAGGGAGTCAGACGACGCCACTACTTCCACCAGTTCTGACTGAATCCCAAACACCACCTGGGATGTAAGACTTTGTCTCCTCCCTCCAGCCCCACCACGTGTTCTTCTCCTTCCCCACTTTATTTCTTCCCTTTCCTATCCCTCTCCTTTTTCCTTCTGTCTAATAAGAGCCTGGTTGAGCTGGGCAAGACTGTATATTTGCAACAGTCTATGACCAGAAAGAGGCAACTAAAAACAATGCCCTAACAGCCCAATGCAGGTGTAAGCTTGCTAGGTCTCAAAGTGGCTGGTAAGACCTTGTGCTGTGCCTGTGTTTCTTGAGTAGTGAGGTTGCAAGTGAGAGTCAACAACAGACAGAAGCTGTATCTACCTGTGTTGTTCTTTTTGCTTCCTTTTATGCATGTTTGTCTTGTCTTGTCTTGTCTTCTTAGCAAACTGGATCAGACTTTAACAACATCAACGGCTCCAGCCCTCATCAACTAACTTCTTTCTTCCTCCAGAAGGACAGTTACCATTTTTAATACCATCCAAAAGGCTGTCAAACAAGGGCTTTTTCCTTCTGTAATCTTTCTCCAGCCGGGGTGCTGGAACAAGTTGGATAGTAGGGGTGCTGAGAGCCATTGAACCAAACTGTAAACCCTGGAAACCACTTCAAGACAGGGGGTGCGGTAGCACCCCCAGTTTCAGCACCTATGCCTCCAGCTAAGGGGAACATGGGGTGTTGTTAAAATGAAAGCTTTATTTAGTATTTTACATTTCAAATGCTTTAACTGTTTTTTCTTTTCTGTATCTTTAATAAAAGGTGGTGTTGTTTTTTTAAATGATGTGTCTGCCTTGATACTAAGCAGGCTAAGGTCTCTGTATACCAAACCCCAAACCTTGTTTACCACGGTTTAATGTGGACAATGACTGGGTCATGTTAACACCTTTAGCCCATATATTCTATCTAAATTAATACTACAGAGCAAGCTCTGTTTTTGGGAGAGCACTGGCCATATGAGGGATTTCTTTGTATCCCTGTTTACATTAGTAATCAATGTAAAAGAGCCTACTTAGCAACCCCTCATCAGTGTGAGACTCATAGCACCCTCTTAAGGAACATACTGCCGTACAGTTGCTTCTGTCTTGTGCTTTAATAAGGGAAACTATGACTTACTATACATTACACAGATGTATTTTTTTGTGTTTTTATAAGTCTGAAGTTGTTTTAAAGATACATATTTATTTAATGTTAATGATCCCATTTTTCCCCTTCTACTCAAAAACGCTTTCATCCTTTCATTTCCTCATAAAAACCTAGTATGCTAAGAGTATATTAAAAGTATATTACATTATTTATGACTTGTTCCCCCTCTCCATTTTCTTTTTTAAGAAGCTGATACATTTTGAAAGGGCTGAGATAAAACTGGGGGAAAGAAGGCAGGCAAAGTTCAAAGGTCAGTAAGGGAACAACATAGAGTCTCGGAGATGAAGATATCTTGTGCGCTAAACAAGCCCAATCATGATAACTTGCCCCATCCCTATGGCCCTGCTTCAAGAAAGAACTTAAGCACGGGGCTGAGCTAAAGCCCCAGTGTTTAGTACAGCTGAATTTGGGAGTTACTTGGTACAGATGTGAGTAGAGTCTTCTTGTCCCAGGTACCTCAGCCAGACCTTATTTACCAGTGGCATTCCTACCTAGTTTGAAAATTGGGCTGGCCAGGCTATGCTGAAAATGGAATGAGTGAGAATTAGGCACAGTGGGGAAAGAGCACAGAAGCCAGCTGCCTCTCTACAGGCTGCCTCCCATGTCCAAACTGGGGCAGTAAACAACAGAGACTGAATGCTGCTCTCAGCTGAAACCCAAGTAGTCCCACTGACTCCAGTGGGTTCTTCTCTGAGAGTTTGGAAGTAACCAAGCAGTCGGGAAAGAGAGTAGCCATATGGAAGATGGAACATATAGGCTTCTAATGGGATTTATTATCCCCTGGGACCAAACTGCTGTCTTCCAAAACAAAACTGACAGGCAATGTTCTATTGATTTAGGCAGAGGAACTCAAAGCCATCTTCATACAGGAGCGGGGTTTTGTTTTTAATAGATTCCAAGGCCAGAACTGACCATTGTGACCATCTACTCTTTTCTCATGTAGACTGTAGGACTACCTCAAAATTTTCCCATATCTTTTAGCATCCAATCTTGATTTAAAAATAGTCAGTGATGGAGAATCCCCCATGTAAGTTGTTCCAGTGGTTAATTACAAGAGTTTTCAGCCTCATATGGTAGCATCTGAACCTCCAGACAAATTGCACAAATAGCTTCTCAACATGGGATTTTTTTCCCCACCAAAGCCAATTGATCCAAAACAGGTGGCATTTTAAAGAGATGAATGATCCCACACAGGGTGAGTGGAAGCTTCAGTCACTGACACATCATCTTGTATATTATAAATGAGAGAGGGGATGCTGTATAAGTATATATCCAATACCCTGAAGGCATTTAACTCCCACACAACAGGTATGTTCATCAACTTTTAGTCAATGGTGGGCGCATTAGCCTCATTCGAGAAAGCCATGAATTAGAATGCATAAGGCCTCCAATTTTTCAAAGTTTATTTTAAACACATAAAACTCCATGTGATTGATGATGGGAATTAAACTCATGATAGACTAGCCATTGGATGACATAAAAATCAACAAATTGCTACATAGCGTCACTTAATCTCATAGCCTCCTGTCTCCCTAGCTTCCCATATGGAATCATAAGGATGGATGGCCTCAGCTAGAGATGATAAACTTAGGGTAGAAAGGAGAGATGAGACTGAATGGCCTACCCTTACACTTCTCTCTCGTATGCAATAATCAGAGCAATACTAGTGGTGATTACTGCCACCTCTACAGAAACAAGAAGAAACCGTCTATTTTTTAAAAGTTCTAACCCAAGACAAATTGCTGGTAACAGCCCTCATTCAATCTACCAAAGGCTTTCTTGGTAAACAGAGACGCCACCAGACAGCTGTGGTACCTAGGAGAGACTAAACCCTGAAGCAAATATCTAATTTTAACACTTCTGTACGGTGCACAACAGGGAGACACAGTGCACGTTTTCTTTGCATGTCTCCTTGAAGATGCAAAGAGAATTTCTGTTTTGCAGGAAGCCAATGTAAACTCTTTTTTTTAAGTGTCAACTTTCACCCTAAGGCTTATTTCAGCAAATGGAGTCCTGCATTTTTGCAAATTTCAGCTTACAAAACTGTTAGCCAGTTACCTACAGCATATCTCCACTTAACCCTAACATCCACTCTGATGTTATCAGAGAAGATGACATGCTCATTTTTGCTTAGCAAAGGGAAACAATTTGAACAAACAGTGGTGCTCTCTGACTGAAAATTAATTTCCAGGGCTGGGATGGTTCAGCAAATTCATTTTGGTACAATATGGGCTGCGTTAGATTCCATTAGCGCTCTGTTTATTTCCAGGAGCACCAAGTGCTTTGGAACAAACTTGCTAACCCAGATGTCATCACACATTCTCTAAACATGTGGATTTAGGAGTCTGAAAAAGAGTAAAAATCCTTATTTCTGTACCATTATGCTAAACCAGGGATTCTCTCTCTCTCTCTTCCCTCCTTGGATACCATGGGGCCAAGGAAAGTCGTACAATTGCATGAAGAAATGAATTGGCTGAATAGAATAATACAGCTGGGGAAGGATGTGGTAATGGAGATGGTCTCTGAATGCTGTCTAAAATGCAGAGCTTCTTTTATGTCTACTTGGCCCAAAGCTGAAGTCGAAGACTGAGAGCCAAAGTTCTCAATCATTCTGAGAGCTACAGGAGATAGTCAGTGTTGTGCCAAGTTAAATGCATTTATTCTTTCTTGCCAATTATTTTAGTTTATTGTTCATTTATTGTGTGCTGTTATGATTAACTAACATGTTATGTCATATATACTCATTGTGTCATATATACTCATTGAGTTAAGTTGTAGGCTTATAGAAGTATAAGATTGATCAGTATTGAGAGGGAATCATGTTTTAGATATCAAAGTAAGAAAGGCTGAAACATGAAAAGGTCTGTAAGATTTTAACTTAGCCGTAGGCCAAAGAAATGCTTGACAAAAGTAAGTGACCAAAGAATAACTCTGTGCCAGAAGATTACAGGAAAAGATGTATCAATGGGTAATATTGCGAAAAATTAGCCAGAAGATAAATTTTAAATCACAGAAATGCTGCAAAGGAACATCCATTTCCAACATGTCTTAACCACAGGATACAGGTTGTGCATCAATGCTAATGAGAAAAACAAAACCTACACAACCCATAGGTATTGGGTGCTTTATGTTTCTAGGGGATATTGGACCAATAAGGAAAAAGAGGGTTGACACTTTTATGGACATGCGCAGAATGTAGGTATAGACAGAATTACATTATGAAAAGGGGATGGGTGCCCAAAATTTGGAAGATTGAGCTTCCTATGGGAAACTCCAGCAGGAACCATCCCTCTACTCGTGGTCAGACCCATCAGACCTTAACACTATCTAGGAGGATGTGAGTATAACTATATTTGTAACTTGTGCATAGGGTTTCCTATGTGCATAGGAGTTTCCTATGGGAAACTCCAGCAGGAACCATCCCTCTACTCGTGGTCTGACCCATCAGACCTTAACACTATCTAGGAGGATGTGAGTATAACTATATTTGTAACTTGTGCATAGGTCTTTACCTAAGCATATAGAAATTCTATAATCATAACTTTAATTGCAACTTTAACAAAACTTGTAAAACAGACTAGACCTTGTACTTGTGAATGTATGTGTGGTCACTACCCTTGGTCTTTATGTGTTCCTAGAGACTCTAAATCTGAAGCAAGTAGAAGAGGTGACTTTTACTCTGTTAAGCTTGAAACTGGAGCCACCAGAGCTGAACCCATGGTGGTGTAAGACCACAATACAAAATTCACTTTAAATAAAATAAAAGGCTAAATCTTTCTTCTTTAAGAATATTTTAAACTTTACCTGAGCTTCTTCTGACCCACCAAACCCATGCAGGCTATGGCATGACATGGCTATAACTCTGGGTGTGTCTATACTTAGAGCTGGAGCTATAAATTCCTGACCAAGGAGACATACCTGCACCAGCTGTGATCAAGATAGCATGCTAAAAATAGAATATAGCTAGGACATACCTATACGAGATGCTAGGTGTGTAACTGGGTGGCTAGGCCCTCCGGACACGTGTTCTGCCATGATTACACTCTATTTTTAGCATGCTAGCTCAATCAGAGCTAGTGCAGGTATGTCTCCTTGAGTTGCAATTTACACCTCCAGTTTGAAGTGCTGACACACTCTCAGAGTATAGTTTTAACTGCACATTACTTCACCCCAAAATACTGTATCATTACACACAATGTGGCAGCTCTGAAGAAACATCCCACACCAAATGAGATGCCAGGTTCCAAAATTCAGCTCCTTTCTCATAAAATTCACAGATCTGTTGCTGCATTCTCCCTCTAGTTGATCCCCCTTGAAGGGGATGAGTGAAATCATCAAATTAAACAGCTGCATGCCTTAATTTTTCTAAGGCCCTGATGCAAAGTCCATTGTAGACTCTGAGAGTCTTTCCATTGAGTTATTATGGGCAGAGCTGGTAGCACTGCCTATAGTTAGGTTGCCTGACCCTTTCCATTATATGACCCCTGTTTTCAGTTGCTTATAACTCTGCCAAAATTTAATCACTGGGGCTGAAAATTCCCATATTGGGTGCCTGCCTCAGGCTGACCTTTTTTTAAAAGTTTCAGTAAAAATGGTTTTGCCATTTCCAAGAACAAGATTGATGGGGAAATACATTGTTTTGACATGTTGAAACGGTCTTACAACCTTTTCATTGAGCAGCTCTAGCACTTCCAAGGTTGGAGCTTGGACTTTAAATTCAGCAGGGGAGTGGCCTGGTGTCTTCTTGCTATTCCTGGGGTGTGGGGGGAGGAAACACTTCCAATTTGGCTAAGTCATAAGTCCTCTGTTTGCATGTTAAGTAGAGACATGTTGGAGTCTGGCAACTAAATTCTCCAAAGATTCCATCTTTACTCAGCATGCTCCATCCCAGGCTACAGAGATTGAGAAGTACCTTTCCTGCTGCTGCAGGCCAGAACTGAGAGCA